TTACCATCATGCTAGGTGCTTTGGGGTTTCTTATCAGGAAATATAGAAAAAACTTTGCAATTTAACCTGCAAATTCCTGAGGTCAAATTTTAAGTATCTGTTCTGAACAGTAATAATAATAAAAATAAATGATAATGAAGTCCAAATACAAAAGCTAGTCAAGAACTTTTCATTACATTTAATTGAGACGAGTATAAAAATATTCCGCTGAATGGGAGCCTTAGTATATCACCTTCAGCCTACTGAAAGCATGAAATCACTGATGACGCTCACTGAATATTTTTGAAAAGAAATTTCTTGCAAAAAATTGGAATATAGGAAGTCCCATGTTACTAAAATTCAGTGTTAGACTGTTATTATTTGACCAGTTATGTTTTTGGACAAATGACTTATTTAAGGCTCAATATTGCCTCACTATCAGAAGTAAAAATAGTTTTAATTTAATAAAATAGAGTTGATAATTTCCTCTAAACAGTATAAAATGGTAATCCTGTCAGGTCAGTCCACAATTAGACCTGAATCATGACATTATAGTTATACAAACAACCATTTCAGATTTATTAAGAGGATTTCACTCAGTATTAATCACAATTTTTCTCTTCCTTAATTTTTCAATTTTTGGAGACAGCATGTTCAGGCAGATGTGGCTGTAAAGTAAATGAGACAACAACAACGCAGTTTTGTGTCTCCTAAAATATCCTCTGTGGCTTGCTTTTTTTTCCTGTGAAACATGGCACAATACTCATGTGTAGAACTGCTGCACATAGGGCACATGTATTTTGTGCAAGACAGCGTGTAACGCTGCTAGCATGTGAAAGAGCCTGAAATTTGGACAAAACACACCAATGGCTTTGAACAGTGACATGAGATATTTCACAAATGCAACCAAGATATCTAGCAAATGCAAAAAGAACAATTTTGTTATGCTGTCTGTTCCAGAAAGCAATGTTTTTAACATATGTTGTTAATAGGAGCCTTAGCTGTGCTTGATCACTTCCCAAACAAGCTGTTTAAACATGAAGCATTAGGCTAGGAAGCTGAGCACTTTTGCAGAGGATGGGGGTTAACAATTCACAGTACTAAATCCTGTTTGATCTGCTGAGAAATTTAATCCCTCAAGAGCATGATTTTACTTAACAGCGCGTCGGGTAAGGGATTTGCCAGAGGTGGAACGTTTTCCGCCTGGCTGGGGTCAGATTGCCAGAGCTGGCTCATCTGCCATTACATGGAGTCCTGCCACCCGCTCCCTCATGGTCCCGCTCCCTGCTGCTGCATGTTTGCACGGGTGCGCATGTGTTCATGTCTGAGCTCCTTTTTTCTGGCCACCGCTGCAGGTGAGTTGTGGATGCTTTTTTGGAAGTCTCCTGAGCCACAGATACTGCTTGCCCAGCCCACAAGGAGGTGCCACCTTCTCCAGGTGGAGGCTATTTGGCTGAGATATGTACCATTAGTGACTGAAGAGAAGCTGAGTTTTTCCCCTAGGACACTGATGCGTGGATACATTCACTGCTGTGGGTGCCTCTGAGGGCTGCCTGTCACAGCCAAGAGCACGAGGGAGCCATACAGATTGTGTTTTCTTCTCAAGCGCATTCTGAATGTGGCAGATTCACTGTGTGCTTCCTTGCAATGTGCTAGAGCAGGGTCTTGGAGAAGGATGGAATATTTGTTAAAACATTGCCACTTTAACAGAAAGCGGGGTGAGTTCCCTTGCTTTTAGTAGAATATACCTTTCTTTTACTGCTGCTAATGCAGAAAGCAGCTGATCATATTCTGTGGGGCTCACATTATTTTTATAGCACTTTGTCTTTGGAATAAACCAGAACATATTGCATGTCAAGAGTGGTAAGGATCTTATAAAGGAAGACAGGCTGTGGATTCCCATTGATGATCTTTGCTTCCTCCAGGCCCCTGAGAGAAGCTGAGTGCTATGCTGTACCATCAGAGACATAGTAGCTCCTCAAAAATAGAAAGGCTTGCCATTTGTCACTTTAAAGTGCATTCAGCAATCACTTGCCTATTTGGGTTGTTAGAGCATTTCATCATGCACTTGTGCAACATCTCGTCCTAATCCACAATTGCAGCTCTTTGCCTCTGCTGTAATACAAACAGTGATGATGAATTAATGTCTGGCTTGGCTATATGGCTATAGTCTCCAATTATGACAAAGTGTTTTCATTTAGAGAGATCAAATGGTGGATTCCACTGTCTCTCACCCTTCCTGCCTGTGAACAAGCTGGTCCTTGTTGTAAACCCCATATAACTTGCTGTGGGGAAGGAGGCATTGTGGAAGCCCCCCGCCCTTAAAATAAAGGTAGTGCTTCAGTAGTTATTTCTTGGGGATCTTTTCTAGCAGACTTAGCTATTTCAAATGGAGAAGGAAAGGGTTTCTTGAAAACCAAAAGGTTTCACAAGTAGGAAGAACCAGAGCAGCCAGAGGTGAAATGTATTGCAAATGTGATGCTTCTTCCAAACCTAAAATCACCAGCACAGAAGTAACAATAGGTTGTTGTTCACCCTCTGAAGTCTGGGACTGTTTCCATACGTGATGCAGAGCGGACAGCCAGAATCCCTGGATAACCAGCTTCTTCAGCTGTGCTCTCCCAAGGCAAACACTGCTGCCTCAGGCTGGTCAGCTTGAGCTCACAGAACACCCTGGCTGAGACCAAGAAGATGACTGCCATCACTCACTTGGTACCTTACCAAGAACAAACATTCACAGAGCCATAGAGCCGCTGCTCTCCAGTGCCACTCTCAAGGGCTCACTGAGTTTCCTGGAGACACAAAAATCAACCTCCAGAAAGTACTCCTGGCCTGCTGGAGTGGGTGCATTGGTACGCACTCTCAGAAAGGACCACGTGCTACCTTCAGGCTGGGGAAGTTTCTAGGCATGTGTTTCTGTCCATGCTACAAAGAACCATAGAAATGCATGGCAGGCAAGGGTTAGTAATGCTGTTTCATTGGTTTTCATGTTATACATATGTCAGGATAGAGTCAAGAATGCATGAACTAATTTTGTTCAATGCTCTCATAACCTTAGAGAGAGTGAGGGCAGGGAGCCTTTGCAAGCAGTGTTGTTTGATATCTGCAAGCCGCAGATAACGCAGAGAGCCGGGACAAATTAAAGGGATCCCCCATCATGAGTAGAAACTGCTAAGCTACAGACAGCAGAGGGATAGCCAAGACAGCAGGATGCACAGAGTGCTTACACACGAGTGGAGGAGTGAAGACAGCACGGGTAGCCATACCTCTTCGTTAGATCTCCCAGCTGCTGCTCCATGGGCAAGCTCAGCTCACAGACCACGAAGTCTGCATGACAGAACAGCAGCTGGGGGATGTAAAGGCAGGGGTTTGAATGCAGTGTGTATTTTAAAACACTGCAAGAGAGTCCAACCCCTCCTCGTGCTTTCCCCTCCCCAGGCAACCTTCAGCACCATTAATCTCAAGGAAAAACTAGATTGGCCTTTGAGCTAGAGATTTCCTCTCTGATTACAGTGTTTTAGCTAAGCCCCAGATGCTAGCGCTGTGCGTTAGAGGCACTCCCATCCCCAGCTGTAGGATGCTGTGTTAAGGGACTGCCACCTGGCAGCATCTTCAAGGAACTGCAAAATCGCCAAGCAGAGATGGAGGTCGGTGAGCAGCAGCCTGCCGGGAGAGCCGCAGGTGTGCCCACGAAGGGGACATCAGGGCCAAGCCAGACGGGCATTGCCGACTGGGCTATTTGGCATTGAGAGGCTGCTACTGTGACAGAAGGCACTAGACTGCTGAAGCATTTGATACGACAACCTCCTTATTGGGAACTTTCCCACTCAGTTAAAGAGTTGTTTTTCCTTTGAGAAAAATCCCACTGTTTTCCCTCTCTTACTTCAAGTTGGCTGAAGAAGCCTGACCTAGTCGTTCTCAGTCATTGCCCCTTTTTAGATAAGATCTTGCTTTGTGAGGGTACACCCAGGAAGGCAGGTCCCACCTTGTCCTCATTCTCCTGGGAAAGCAGAGAAGACCAAAGGTGACAACTTCAGTGAATAGGGGCATGGGATGAAAAGAATAATATAATAATCTCCCTTGGCCAAGACCTTGTATCCCAACTTCTTCCATTTCGAAGTCATCGGTATGGTCCCCTTGCCTGTGCTACCCTTTCTTTTTTCTTCTGTGGTGTGACAATCTTGCAGACAAAACAATTAACAACATCTCAAGACATGCTCTGGATTTTCCCCCAGACAGGTGTCTCAGCCAGGTTGCCTAAAGCTTTCCAAACCAGCCAGCTTTGAAAGGGAGCACACAGCAATCAGTAAGTAATTTCTCTAACATTTTAGGAGGCTTCAGTTATCCTACCCTTTGCAAAGTGTCCTCTACTGCCCAGTATCACAGGAAACAAACTTCCAAACTTCTGTTTGTAAATAGAGGCCTCCATCAACAGGACAAATTTGAGGCTTAGCTGAGCCTGAGACCCGTTTGCCAACAGTCACTATGCTTAGCAGGTGAAGGGCCCCTGACCAGCAAATGAACTCCAGTCGTTACTATTGGTAGTAGTAGGCTTGGGTTATCCCTTAGTAATTTTATGTAGAAATTTGCATACGGAGAAAAGCTCAAGAGATATTGAGAGCTGGAGAGACTGTGTCCCTTTTCAGTTCTAGAGCTATCACAAACAGTATGCGAAGGTCCTGAACCACATCACTAACACACCTTCAGCTACGACCTCTTAAGACCATT